GAAATAAAAAGAAATACCTCGTTGAAGCGGAGACAAGCTTCCCAAGGATTAGAATCGAAACAAAATATTCCTAAAACATTAAGTAAAGTATAAAACGATTAGTAAACTTGTAAACCTAACTAATCAACAAACAAAAGTTACATGCATCCCTCAACATTATATTGTTTAGATTCAGATTAAGATTTGATATAAAGAGTCAACAATAAAAATCAATTTTTGCAATCCAAAAATCTCTAATCTTAAAGCGTAAACCTATCAAGCTATCAACAATGATTTAGTTTCAACTTATTGTTCTCAGTCAAAATCTACTGTGATTATGAAAGATGTTTCCCAAAAGCTAGTCAGATGCAATAAAAAGGTAGGCCTATTAGTTGAAGTACAGGATTGTCCCAATTCAGAGGACTAAGATTGTATGAATCACTAAATTATATGGATTTTTCTATAATTCTTCTAGTTCAATCTGCTCAGTAAATTTTTCACAATTGAAAAGCAGTGTTTGGTGGTGCCTTAAGATATGCAACAGCCAGAAGACAACATAGAAAGGTAGAATGCTTTTACCTTATCAATACAAACACACATTGAAAAACACCAGCCACACCAGTCCAAGTCGAAGGCCCAGTCTTGACAACCGAATCTTGATTTAGCAAGCCAACAGATGCAGCTAGCGAAACAAATGCGACGACATACGCTATGAAAAGCCATAACTTCAATCTGTAATCAAGAATTCAAATACACACAAGATATTTTAGATATGACGTTTATATATACACACAAGATATCACAACTATCTTCTAGTTTCTACAAAAGTACAGATTAATAACACGCAGTAACCAAACTCTCAATTGTTATCTTGATTTTAAAATCATAATCAGAAACCCAACAAAAGCAGTTATTGAAACAAATGCTACAACAAACGCTCTGAAAAGCCATAACTTCAGATAAGCTGTAATAAAAACACAAATAAAAAATAACTGAAACAAGCAAATCTCTGTAAGAACTTGGTTTCAGATAAAGTATTACTATTACTAGTTTCCACAGGGATAGTGGGATACAGATTAGAAACACTTGGTAACCAAGCTCTTAAGTCTTATCTTAATTCAAAAACTGAACCAGTGAGGCCAACAACAGCCGCTAGTGAGACAAATGTTATATGACATACACAAATCTTCAATCAAAATCCAAGAATCCAAAATACACAAATCAAGAATAATATAAACAATATCCACCAGTCACAAATCTCAGATAAAAACTTAACCTATCTTCAAGTTTCCAACAGAAATACAAAAGTTCTCAAGTCATGTCTTTGGTTATAAGTACACATGATATCTCAGCTATCTACTAGTTTCCACAGGGATACAGATTAGAAACACTTAGTAACCAAGCTCTTAAGAGTTAAGTCTTATCTTAATTTAAAAACTAAACCAGTGAAACAACAGCCGCTAGTGAGACAAATGTTATGACATACACAAATCTTCAATCAAAATCCAAGAATCCAAAATACACAAATCAAGAATAATATAAACAATATCCACCAGTCACAAATCTCAGATAAAAACTTAACCTATCTTCAAGTTTCCAACAGAAATACAAAAGTTCTCAAGTCATGTCTTTGGTTATAAGTACACATGATATCTCAGCTATCTACTAGTTTCCACAGGGATACAGATTAGAAACACTTAGTAACCAAGCTCTTAAGAGTTAAGTCTTATCTTAATTTAAAAACTAAACCAGTGAAGCCAACATAAGCAGCTATGAATAGCCATAGTCAAGAATCCATAATACATAAAAACACAAATCAAGAACAGTATAGATAATACACAAAAACTAAGAAGCAAATAAGCAAACCAGTACCTTAATAATTGCAACAGATGGTTTTTGACTTTTGTCCTCAGGAACCAACAGCACCGGATACTCCTACACAAAAAGAGAGTCTAAGGTCTCAAGCATTAAGTCAACCAAACACTATATGAATACTCATGACAAACGTATATATGATCATCCTAAACATTCAGGTGCAAGAGAAATAATGATGTAAAAGAAAAACTTTCAAAGTCTCTAGAAACTAAAATCTGAACTCCAAAAATGAAAGAGAAATATTCCTCTTAACACATGCATGAGTGACTAACAAATAACAACAACCATGAGTGTATAAGACTAATTTTTAACAATTTTTTCTGTTCAAAATACCATAAAAATCAGAAGAGAGTGTAAGAGAGACTATAAGCAAATGGTCTCTAAGGTCTCAAGCATTAAGTCAACCAAACACTATATGCATACTCATGAAAAATGTGTATATGATCATCCTAAACATTCAGGTGCAAGAGAAATCATGAAGTGAAAGAAAAACTTTTAAAGTTTCTAGAAACTAAAATCTGAACTCCAAAAATGAAAGAGAAACATTCCTCTTAACACATGGATGAGTGACCAACAAATAACAACAAACTGGAATTAAGAACCAAAAAACTGAATGTATAACCAAACATTAAAGGCTTTAAAACACACACTTGA